CTCCTAACCACGTCCATCTTACACTTAACCACACCATCTTACTGTTAGTTTTAAACAATGTGAATGATAGGAGAAAGATAGGCCCACCTTAGAGGAGGGATTGCCCTACGCTAAATTACATACAGCTCCGCCTTAAATGGAACCATACAGTAAAGGAATGATCCGCTTCGTACACTACCAAACTCATTCTGCAAGGGGATTGTTTCGAAGCTTTAAGCTTTGTTTCTCCCATCACTGCTATAAACCAATCAGTGTCCAGCAGTAGCTCCGCCCTTTAGTACCGTACTGCTGTGCTAGATACCCTGACGGTTGGCTGCAACAGTTCTGGAAATTCTGATAGTAGAAATGGTGAATTTTACTGAACCGCACAGCTCCGTGAAAATGAGTAATGAAGGCTGGTGAGTGTAAAGGCATCGCTTACCATCACTGTGTGCTCCAGTGGGTGGGGGCGGGACCGCAGCTGATGCTGATGGAGGTGGGACACCAGCACGTGGAGGCGGGAGAACTGTGGATGTAGGTGGAGCACCAGCAAAAGGAGGCGGGGCAATGGTGGATGGAGGTGGGGCAGCAACAAAAGGAGGTGGGGCAATGGTGGATGGAGGTGGGGCAGCAGCAAAAGGAGGCGGGGCAATGGTGGATGGAGGTGGGGCAGCAGCAAAAGGAGGTGGGGCAATGGTGGATGGAGGTGGGGCAGCAGCAAAAGGAGGTGGGGCAACAGTGGGCGGAGGGACGGTCAGGGGTGGAGTTCCTCTCATGGCTGCAGGTGGAGGACCAAACGTCTGATGCGGAGCCATGACATTCAGTGCAGGTGGAGCTGTGGAGGATGGAGCACAGTGGGCTTTAGACTGGACATCCACATAAACACATGCAGATAAACACAGATAAATGAATTATGGGTCGTTTGCCTGCTGCTTTTACATGTAGTGCCAAACTTAAGATTTTGATCTTCAAATATAATATTGAGTGAATATTAAATAAATATTAATAAGCAGACTGAAACTGTCATTATAGAATATTAGCCTGGTTATAGCTGATTCATGGGCTAGCTTTAATCTCTGAAAACTCGGGATGTGATGACTCCACGAGATGAGACATGAGATTGTGTTCACAGGAACGAGATGAGATTTTTACACTTTAAAGAAATCCTGAATGATGAAACATATGAATGGAATAGTATTATTAGAATTTAAGTATTTTGCTAATATATGAATGGAAAATAGATAAAAAAAAATACAAAATGCAAAACAATTCAGGTGTTCTTTATAATCAACTTGTAATGAATGTGTTTTCATTTTTTTATGCTTGCAATTTCCATAATTGTTCCCATCATTTTATGCATGCAATAGTTTTATTTAGTTTACATTGAATTTTATGCAATGAACATGCAAACACGGCTAAATATTTGTTAATATAGAAATGGAAAATGCCAAACTCTGACGGGCGTTCCCCTGTAGAACTTCACAGTATTTACATTGCAGATCTTGATGGTCAATTCAGATTTTGAGACAGTTTCTGAATTTACTTGTTGACCTGACTTGCTTACATGTATTATCTTTTAAAAGGAGACTCATATCCGACTGTCTGCATTACACAGCACACGGCGAAAGGTGCAATGACCAGGAAAAGAAGAGTGGGCGCTGACCGACAGCTGATAATAAAGGAGCGCTCTGTTCTCCATTTCTGTATTCATTCTGTTCGCACGGTTTCATTCTTTACTTTCTTTTTGAAAAGCAGTTTTATTATAGTTTATAACAGATAAGTTCTCATTCGTCCATCTTCTTTTAAGATACACATGTTAATGTGTGTGTGTGTGTACCGGCTGTGCTCTGGAAGACTGCTGCTGTGCTGCTCCAGCTGCTGGGCTGCTGTGTGTGCTGGTAGTGGCTGTTAGCGTGCGGCGGGGGTGTGGGTGAGGCCTGTGGTGGGCCGGGCAGCACAGGCCTGTGATTGGGCGAGGCTGGCAGTGGGCTGTGTGTGCCGACAGGTGAAGGCTGGTGCCGGTGTGTGTTGTAGCAGCTCTGCGGCCCCGCTGGCAGGCCTTTAGCGGGAACACTGCTGATGTAGCCCGGCTGCAGCGGCGGAGCCATGAAGCCCGGGTTCAAAGGGTAAACTGCATTCTGGGAAGGACCTGCGGCACAGAAGAATAATCCCCAGTAAAACACACAGAGAGAGCACACTGGGTTAAACTGGTCATCATAGACGAGACTTGTAATCAGATTAGCCGGAGAGCAATGTAATCTTCATCTGGATGGACACCTACTGAAGCTCTGCGTTCAGTCAATCAGCAGACGCTTCAGTCCAAAGAGCTGAGGAGGCATTCAGACATTCACCAAGAGCAGGCAATACACACAACTGGAGCTGATACACAGATATACAGACGAACTGTCAGTGCTCAGAGAATCTAGTGCTGGAGTAATGAGGGGGAGTGTGTTTACTACAGAGAGTAGAGTGTTTCTACAGGTGGTTTGTAAATCCCACTCACCTGCGTGAGGCGCACTACAGAAATGCACAGTGTTTTATTTATATGGGCAATTCTGTGCAAATGTCAGCCGTACCATCAATAAAATAATAAGGTTTCCACCAAAACAGCCAAACCCTTTCTAGGCTTATTGAGTAGGCTTGTGTTGTACAGCAGTGGTTCTCAAAGTGAGGGTTGTGGGGGATTGAAGGGGGGGGGGGGGGGGGGGGGGTCGCTTGGTGATTTCCAAAAATCTGTTTATTTTTTATTAAACCATAAGAATGACCATATTCATCCATAACCTACTGAAGAGGACAAAATTGTTGTTTATAGTTACTTCAAACTAAATAGTTACTATAGTAGCTTATAGTTACTAGTTCTATTGGACTGCGACCCCTGTGCTGGTCCATTAGTCTCATGAACAGAAGAGCAATAAAGTTCACACAAAAATCAAGATTCTGTCAACATTTAATCAACCTTTACATTTTTCAAAACCGGTTTGATTTTCCTTTTTTCCTTGTTTGCTATGATCATTTATTCCTTATTTCACATAAAATTCTGATTTATTTTAATTTAGATGGATGATATTCTCAACTTCTGACACAACTATCCTCAGTCATCTGAAATGACATTTACTGACTCTCTATTGCAGCTAAAATGTTACTCTACGGCCATTGTAAGACTTTGTAAACTATCTTTTCATAAAGAGACCACAATAGTGTTGACTAGTGTTTGAGCTTTATAAAGTACTTTTCTTTGTAGTTAAAATGGACAAACTTAACTGAAAACTGCAATCCTTTGAGAGTTTACATGTTGACGGTGTTTATCGGGTCTAAAATAAAGGGTTCTCCTTATTGGAAACACATAAACACTTTCAGAAATGCAGTTTATGAAGACCCTTCAGTTTAATTTATAAATGTCTATTTACATTCAAGAAACTGTACTGTGTCCTGACAGAACATCACATGACTGTAATATCTGGACAGCTGATACAGCATTCAGGGCCTGATAAACCACATCAGCAAGTGTTTAAGGGGACAGTTCTGATGTACTCATTATTTACTCTCCCTCGAGTGTTTCCAAACCTTTCAGAGTTTCTGTATTCTGTTGAACACAGCAGCAGATATTACAAACAAGCTGAAAACCTTTGACGTCAAAGACAAATCCCATGGAAGTCAGTGTGATGACTGTGTGATGATTGTGTTCAATGCAGAAACTAGTAAAGAGCAAGTTAATGGTGGCAGAGTGTTTATTTTGGGGTGAACTGCTCCTTTAAGATCACTGGGTGTGTAAATGTCTAACAGATAAACATGTATTCACTTTCACTTATCTGTTTAAAACGATCCTCAACTATGACATGTCAATTTATCGACAGTACAGAACTTCCACGAGTGTGTCAGTGTCACCTGTTCCACACAGCCGATACCTGACCTGTCTATACTCGTCCTCAAATCACTGACAAGACCACAAATCACGGACTAACGTTAGACCACAAACTGATCACTGACAGGTCTGTTAACCACACACTTATCCTCAAACTAACAGCTGACTAGTCCACAAACCACAGACTAGTCCTCAAACTAACCGTTGACTAGTCCTCTGTGCCCGGGAGTTGCGTCATGAGTCGGCGGACTCACCGAGCGGGTTAAGCCGAGGCTTTGGAACTCTCGGGCGGGTTTATCTGAACTTTACCCCCCGGCTTTACTCGGGTCTTCACTCGACACTCAGTACAGCTTATCTCCAAGAAGGGGCCTAAAGAGCGACACAGAACCCCACACCGGACAGCACACTCACCGTTCGCGAACGAGTCACCGGCGCCGTTCTGGGGCGCGAACTGGCCGCTGGACATCCTGGGACACCGGGGATCGCGGCCGGGGCGGGTGTGTGTGTGTCGGAGAGCCGCTCAGAGGCCCGGGGATCCGCTCATCCTCACCGCCTGAACTCTGACTGAGAACCAGCGCCTTCCTCTAGCGGAAGTCCAGCGCCAGATCCGCAGGCGCCTGCGCACTTGGTACACGTGGCATTTCCTGTGGAAGCGCCAGATCGTCCGGACTGGAAACAGCTCGGCCAGCGGAGCCGCAGCGCTGGTGTTGGGGAGGCGTTTAGTGAGGGACTCCTGCGGGGAAATCCAATATTATGATAAGTGTGGTGAAATAAACACATGCGTTTATAATTTCTGCCACTTCACTGTTATTTTGGAACAATAGAATATAACCAGAGCCTTTATATAGTTTACTCTCTATTTAAAGAAATTCCTGAAAATTAGTTACATTAAACAGTTCTTTTTACAAATTGATACAACCCCTGCACATTTTCATTTTCATTTAATTTGCATAATCTTTATTAAATACAACTATATATATATATATATATATATATATATATATATATATATATATATATATATATATATATATATGAGAAAGGAAATTTTGGATAAGTAGAAAAATAATTAGATTCAACAACAAGGCAGTATGAATTGTACAAATTATATTATGTGTAGGATTTGCCCATTGGAGTTGCCTTCTGACAGCTGTTGTTTATGTGAGCTGTTTCCGGCCGGACGGGCTCGACTGTGACACGCAGCGGAAGTGGAGCCATTGCTGTGTGTCGTGGCTGAGAGCGGAGTTTGTCCACTTGTTTCTCCGGTGTTTCCTCATTGATCCCCGTTGGACTGAACCGCGCTTGTCTGCACTCGCTGGAGGTGAGTCTCGGACCCGGTGTCCGCCGCCGGTGCTTCCACCGCCGCCGCTGCTCTCTGCCTGCCGGGGCTTCAGTCCGCCGCCGCTCCGGCTAATGCTAAAGCCGATGCGAGCTCACTGGCCCCGGGAGCAGAGACGGTGGCGGTCGGTTCTCGAGCTCCGGTGTTTGGTGTGTGTTGAGTGTGTGTTGGGTGTGTAAAGCGCCTGTCAGTGACGGTGTTCGCCTGTGTGGAGCTAATCGGGGGTCAGGAGCTCCGGGTCTGTTAGCAGCAGCAGTGACACGTACATACAAACTGACGACAACACACACAACTACACTCTGACAAGCCTTAACAACTCTGAGAGAAACACACACACAGTTACACTCAGACAACAATTAAACTACACAAAAAAACACAACAGCACTGACAACTATCAGCACCGAGAAACACACACACACACACACACTCACACACTCTGACAAACCTTTACAATACAGAGAAACACACACAACTACACTCTGATGACTAACAGCACAACTACACCCAGACAACAACTAGCAATGCTGAGAACACACAGCTACACTCACAGCCATTAACAACACAAGAAAAACTACACACAACAACACACAAAAACACAGAGAAACACACACAACTACACTGACAACCGTTAACAACACGAGAAACACACAACTACACTCTGATGACTAACAACACAGAGAAACACACAACAGCACAACTACACCCAGACAACAACTAGCAATGCTGAGAACACACAGCTACACTCACAGCCATTAACAACACAAGAAAAACTACACACAACAACACAGAGAAACACACAAATAACTCCGGACATGAATACAGCTCTTTTCTGGACACACTTGCGCTTTACACATGTTTGGGGGGAACCTCCTCCTCCAGCACCAGTGTGCAGCATCATCCTGGATGAGCCCCAGCTGATTGGTGGAGAGGAGACAGAGTGATGAAGACAGGTATGATATGGGGAGGGTCAGGAGGTCATGGTGGGCAGATTTGGCCAGGATGCTGGGGTGAAACCCCCACTCTTTCACCAAGGACATCATGAGATTATTAATAAGCACAGAGAGTCAGCACCTCGGGTTATCATCTCATCAGAAAGACGGATAAAATAGCCACTGATCAGTGTTAAAGGGACAGTTCACCCAGTCCAACTCCTCTGTATTTAACATCACTCAAGCGGCTCTGAACTTAAAGAGGTAAAGTTGGTTTTATATTCGCACATTCAGACTTTCCCCTTAATATTATATATTAATAAAAGTGTTATCTGCTAAATCTAAATAGTGAAATCATATTATCAGCTAATGACTATCAACGTACAGCACCGTCCACAGTCAAATAAACAGTGTTAGTGCTGTTTTCAGTCACACTTGCCGGTTATTTCAGACCGGATATCTGAAATGCTCTGGTAAACAATATAAGGAGTGCGTCACAACTTGTCACTGAATGAACGTGTGAATATAAAGCAACTTTACCTCTATCTGTTCTCAATGGGTACAGATTTCCAACATTCCTCAAAATGTCTTCTTTAGTGTCAAACAGAAGAAAGAATCTCCTAAAGGTTTGGAAACACCTGACGCAGAGTAGATAGTGAGTAAAATGTCATATTTATAGGCAAACTGTGCCCATACTTCAACTCATCAGCAGCAGAAAAAAAAGCCATTTACACGTCACGATAGTTTAAAACACGTTTGGTCTGCCCTGTGTTTCAGTCAATCATCATCTGGAGAGATTTTAAAGGAAATATTATATATAATATATCAACCTTTTAATGGCATTTACCTTTAAATGTGTATCTTATGAATTATATATTGCTGCTGCTGTTTTATTATTATTACCACTCTATTATTATTGTGGAGTAGCAGTATTATAATATGTTGTACATTTGATCTGGTTTTGCCATGAAGCTGATCTCTCTCTCTCTCTCTCTGTCTCTCTCTCTCTCTCTCTCTGTCTCTCTCTCTCTCTCTCTCTCTCTCTCTCTCTCAGCTGTGGGTTCATGTGGATTTCTGCTATTGCTATTTAGCACATTGTGTAAAGGGTCCAGCGTTCTCTCTTGATCAGCGCTGTAATCTTGATGAGTGTGTCGCTGTCGGTGTTATTAGCACACTGATTATTAAAACTGCTTTATGTACGCTGTTGAAGACGTGTTTGCACAGCCCTGTTTTACTCTGAGCAGACGGACAGGCCTGTTCACATAGTAGTGGGTGTAGTGGGTCTGTGTGTGTAGTCATGTATATATTTGTTTAGTGTGCGTATGTATGCATGGGTGTCTATATATATATATATATATATATATATTTATATATATGTGTGTGTGTGTGTGTTTGTGTGTGTGTGTGTGTGTGTGTGTGTGTGTGTTGAATAGACTATCTTTGTCCTGGATGTTAATACACAGTGAAGTGGTCAGAATACAACCATTGATAATTCTGAAGTGGAATTATTTGAGGCATATGCTTGTAATCTGTCATTAACATTATCAATCGTTCGTTTTTCACTGGTAAAATCAGACATTTGTCATTATCAGATTCCCTCTTGCATTATATTCAGCATTATACAGGCTAGAGTAGTTATACTCATTCATTCATTTTCTTTTCGGCTTAATCCGTTTATTAATCCGGGGTCCCCACAGTGGAATAAACCGCCAACTTATCCAGCACATGTTTTAGGCAGCGGATGCCCTTCCAGCGGCAACCCATCCTTGGGAAACATCCATTCACACCCATTCACACTACAGACAATTTAGCTTACCCAATTCACCTGTACCGCTTGTCTTTGGACTTAAGGAGGAACCGGAGCACCTGTAGGAAACCCACACCAACACGGGGAGAACATGCAAACTCCACACAGAAACACCAACTGACCCAGCTGAGGCTTGAACTAGTGACCTTCTTGCTGTGAGGCGAATGTGCTACCCACTGCGCCACCGTGCAGCCTGAGTAGTTATACTGACACAGTAAACGTTTATTCTCATGCACAGCACTGTGTGTTCACTATTACAAAAACACATCAAAGGCTTGTCCTGATCATAACTCTGAAATGTGATATGATCACTTAAATGATGTGGTTTCACTTTCACTGTCGAGTGTGCTCATGTCATGGCTGCCGTCACTCTGAGGAAAAACAAACACACATGTGAATCCCAGTTCCCGCTCGGCTCCCAAACGATCGCTGTGTGAATAACTGAGTGTTATTAACAGCTTTATCAGCTGTTATTCACAGCCTACGCAGGTTCTGTTCAGTACGACATTCCATTAAGACCAAATGGCATTTTTGGGTGAGTTATACCTTATGATTACAGTATATGACACTTTAAACATCATTTGGAGGTGTCCACATTGCTGAGCAATGTAATAATGCAAAGACTTGTCCTGGAGAAAGATTGTGTGCGGGGTCCAATTAAGATTGTGTTGTTTCTCTTCTATTAATCGTGCAGCTCTGGTATGTGTGTAAAAGTTTAGCATGTAAGTTTAGCGTATATACGTGTGTGTATATGTGTAAGTGTAGTGTGTATATGTGTGTAAAAGTTTAGTGTGTGAGTGTAATGTGTGTATGTGAGCCTAGCGTTTAAATGTCAGTGTGTGTGTGTGTGTGTGTGTGTGTGTGTGTGTGTGTGTGTGTGTGTGTGTGTGTGTGTGTGTGTGTGTGTGTGTGTGTGTGTGTGTGTGTGTGTGTGTGTGTGTGTGTGTGTGTGTGTGTGTGTGTTAGCAGATCATCATCAGTTGTTCAGCTCAGGCTGGGTCAGAGCTCTGTCATGCTGACGTGTAGCACACACACACACACACGTGTCCTTCACCTTTACTGCTGCTGTTCTTTACTCCTGACAGCTTACACAACACCACACACACTCTCTTTCCTCACTCACACATTTATTCATTCATCTTTGTGTGTGTGTGTGTGTGTGTGTGTTTGTGTCATCTCCAGCAGACAGCATCAGTTTCTTCTCTGAGCTGGATTTGTTCCGTCTTCAGCAGATTCACACACACACACACACACACACTTCAGCTGCATATTCTCCGTCAGAGAAGCGGAGCTGCTGTCAGATGGCCTTTACACGTATCAAAGGTTTATATCCTGATAACAGCAGAGCTTTATCAGACTCACTGTATGCTACCACAGAACAAGACACGGCCGCTGATGGGTGTAGACCTTTACTTTTCTTTTAAAAAGTTTCAGTCAAAGATTTAACCAATTGTTTATGTACAAAGTATCTGTACTTTACACACACACACACACACACACACACATACAGACTAATACAGTGTTCAGACTGCATATTTCAGACCCGATTTTAACTCGCCGACAGGTTTTGGGAAATCACAGGCAAATCAATGCGGATTTGATCTGATTTATCAAAGTAGTGGTGTTTTAAAATTCTTGAATGCATAATAATCATAATAACTGTGATTATTCCTCGGACTATAATCGTACAGCCTAAATCTATAATCAATGCATCCCTAGTAGACCTTAGGGAAACATGCAGCGATACACACACACACACAACATGCACAGGATACACAGGAGTGTAGCTACTGCCTCTCAGGCTATAGCACCTGCAATACAACATCTGCAACACATCTGCACTGTCTAACATCTGTAAATGAGCAGTTTGTGTATTTAGTGTGTGTTCTGTGTGTATTAGCGGTGGTGAACTGCATTATGGGATGTTGATCTCTGCTCTGTCCACTTCTGATGCTGAAAATCAACTCTACAGTTTAACAGAGTGACTTTACTTACATCTTAGTGGTTTTAAATAAAAATATTAATATATAATGAATAATCTGTGGAGGAATAAGTGTGTACAATAGCAGTAAATGTGCTGCAGTTTATTACAAGTTCTGTAGTGTAATATACAACACCAACACACACACACAATACAGCCCTGCACACTATACACACGTGCTGAACACACACTTCTTATTGTTAAAGGTGGAAAAGATCAAGATCCCATAATGCAGTTTAAAATCAGAAGTAAACACGAGGGAAACAAAACCTGAACCACAGAATATGTAAAACTGCTGATTCAGGGCTGTTTTTAAGAGAGCTCTTAGGAGCGATCAGATCTTTGAGATGTTCGTCTGCAGTGTTTATGATGTCTCCAGCGTGCCAGCAGCTGATGTGGCACTTCATTGCACATTAATATCTGATTTCATGTGTGGTTTTATCAGGTCATTTGGTTGTTAGTGTTTGCGTCACGTCTGTAATGATATAGTGCGCATAAATCTGTGTAATCAGGTGAGGTTTATGTAGCATCATTTCTCAAAAACAGATCATATTTTCAAATTACAGATCAAGTCCATTTCAGATCAATATCTAGCCCGTGATGAAAGCAGACACAAAACAATCTCATACTCATTTTATTAGTGTGTTTCTGCTTTCTGAAATTCCAGAATATGGAATCTGGAAATTTTCTAGTTAAGAAGTCTGAAATGAAAATTGAAGATCAGTGCGTCAGCGTGCTGCTAGATGAGTGTGTTGAGTCGTATTAAAGTTTCATCAATTTATTCAAATGTCAATTATTCTGAACCTGTCAAAGGGTAGTCTAAAAGAATTTTAGACTATATTCAATTGCACCTGATCATTGTCTGGTAAATGCATCCTCTCGCTTCATTATACTGTAAGAATGTGGCCAGTGTTACCTGTTGAAACCTAAAGTGGCGATGAGGTTCAAAAATGAATGGAAAGAGTGTCAATGCATTGAGTTCCACTCTCCGCCTCCTGCTCTGTTAATGTCAGTAAATACAGTAACTAATACTGAAAGCTTATAGTAAATGTGACCGTTAATTGTGATTAATCTAGACTGATGAACACATGTTCAGAATGACTGAATCTCAGCATATTTTCTGTTTGTTTGCAGAATTCCACGGCCTGGATATGTCCTTCATATTTGATTGGATTTATAGTGGTTTCAGTAGTGTTTTACAGTTCTTAGGTAAGTTCATCAGCCTGTTTTTGAGATTTTAAAATGTACACATGTAAATGTCATTGTCCAATCTGACATGATCAAATCATCAATTCACAGCTCAACTACATTCATTTTGCTAAGGAACTTATCAGATATTCCTCTATTTATTTATGTTTTACTGCTGAATAGCCAATTCGGCACAAATATTTTACAATACAATTATAAATCATTTTTATTGTTGTATTTATTTTACTTACTATAGTCATTATGATGAATAATGCATGATTACATGCAACTAACCCTAAATGTAACCCCAACCATATAGTAAGTACATGTAATTAATTAGTCTTATATACTACTTTTAAACAGAGAAGATTAACATATTTTATCATAATAGTTTTAATAACTCTGATTTATTTTCTCTTCATCATGATGACAGCTCATAATATTAGTCTAGATATTCTTCAAGACACTAGTGTTCAGCTTACAGTGACATGTAAAGGCTTCACTAGTGTAATTAGGGTAAAGTTAGGGTAATTAGGCAAGTCATTGTATAACAGTGGTTTGTTCTGGAGACAATCCAACACTAATATTGCTGAAGGGGGTGAATAATATTGATCACGGCAGTTTTTATTTTTTAAATTGATGTATATTTTAATTCCAGGCGAACTGAAAGTAATCAGACTTTCTCCAGAAGAAAGATAGTGTTGGAAATACTGTGGAAACATCACTTGGGAAAATCACAGACGGGGAATAAATTAGTCTTGAGCTGTAAATCATGAAACCAGAATGCTGCTGTGACGGTGGAGAATAATATGACGCACTGCAGCTCCTCAGCTCAGTATCACCAGCCTGGTTTTTCCAGTTCTCCCAGTCCAGACTGAAACTGACAGATCAGCTCTAACTGTTAAATCACATTACTCCAGTGTATTACTGTCAGATCACTCTGCTGGATTCTGCGCTTGATCACAGACGGACAGACTTCTGATGTGCTCAGTGATCATTTATTGTTCAGCTGTAGATTGAGACTCTCATTACTTCACGAGTCCACTGTTGGTTCAGTTGGGTCATGGTGTGTGCACTTGGCTGAACCATCTCTCTCTCTGTTTCAGGGCTGTATAAGAAGTCTGGAAAATTAGTATTTCTTGGCCTGGACAATGCTGGCAAGACGACGCTTCTCCATATGCTCAAAGATGACAGACTGGGTCAACATGTGCCAACCCTACACCCTAGTAAGTGTGCATTCACCACACTAACCCATCACAGCGGCCAGTCTCAGGGACTGTCAGAATGAAAACTGCATCTCCCATGCTGAGCTGTAGTGGGATCCACGCTGGAACCTTATATTGTGCAGCACAATTTTGCAGATAGAAAGACGTTTACAGCTGTCAAATTGAGATGGAAATGTGTGTTTAGTGCTAGCACAAGCTGCTGAGAGGATCTGAAGTAGTTAGTTTGTTATTTCATTGAAATGCTCTCAGTCAGAGGCTGAATGTGTGTGTTTGTGTGTTTGTGTGTTTGTGTGTTTGTGTGTTTGTGTTTGTGTGTGTGTGTGTGTGTGTGTGTGTGTGTGTGTGTGTGTGTCTTCAGCTTCAGAAGAGCTGACGATCGCCGGCATGACCTTCACCACTTTCGATCTGGGTGGCCATGCTCAGGGTGAGTATTATGATGATGATGATGATGATGATATTTCTGCACTCATATATTCATCACAGATATGAACATTTGCTCATTAATGCTGCACTTCCATAAAGTTCAGTGCTAGTGTTGGCTGTAATTACTCCATTGTTTACTAGTGGCTTCACAGGACACCACACACACCTGACCTCAGTGTATGTAGAGGGAATTGATCAGTCCAGACTAGCAGGCATGTGTGAGGTTGTGTTGTGTTGATGTCTACACCGCTGCAGGAGTGTTGTGTGATGTTGTGTTGTGTTGTGTTGTGAACAGCTCGACGGGTGTGGAAGAACTACCTCCCCGCCATCAACGGCATCGTCTTCCTGGTGGACTGTATTGATCACGGCAGACTGGCAGAGTCCAAAACAGAACTTGACGTGAGTACACACACACACACACACACACACACACACACACACACACACACTCACACTCACACACTCACTCACTCACTCACACACACTCACTCTCTCACACACACACACACACACACACACACACACACACTCACTCTCTCACACACACACACACACACACACACACACACACACACACACACACACACACAGAGTGAAGTTGTTGAATAATAACTGAAACTGAAGAATGTAAACGTGTGCTGATCAGGCACTAATGACAGACGAGACCATCGGCAATGTGCCCATCCTGATCCTGGGAAATAAGATTGACAAACCCGAGGCCATCAGCGAGGAGAAGCTGCGGGAGATCTTCGGGTTGTACGGTCAGACGACAGGAAAGGTGAGTCCAGCGGTGTCTCAGGCTGACACTCTCAAGGCTGAGTTATACTTCTGTGTGGAGGGATCGGCGTGACCCGCGGTGCATGCTCTCGGTGTAGTTGTGCATTAATAAGATCTGTTAATACCTGTAATTCTCCAGATACACTCAATCATCAATAGCCTGTGTGTTGAGTGTGTGATGCAGATGCAGGACAGATGCAGGACAGCTGAGGTGATGCGCGCGACTGTTTATAACGCGTGCACGCTCCCGTTTCCTTTGTGAAGCAACTGTGTCTAGAAACACAACTGATGCGATCGATTCTCTTTAAATAGACTGAACGAAAAGGAGGAACATGCAGCCACAGTCCTGCTGCTTTCCAGAGCTCCCGAGCTGACTTATTGTAAGCAGCGCCAGTTGCTTTCGCTTTAACCATATTCTTTGAACAGATCATTTATGGGTCTATCATTAACCATGCGCGTGTGATCACCCTTTATTATCACAGTATGTTTTTACCTGCTTTCTTTTGCATTAATATGATTTAATTATCAGTTTTTTACAATAGCATTGCTTTAATGGGAGAATAACTCCCCATTTATGTGTAGTTAACTGCTGATCTGGGACCTTAAGCCAGGATATATGACTGTGCATGTGTTTTGATAAATATAAAGTGTAGTATTCAGCTATATTTAGCATGTTTTCACACATTTTAAATGTGTGGCTCAGAAATAATGAACTGTTTATGTAAGGTGTGTTCAGAGATAAATGGGGTAAATCCTTCATTTTGGGTTCTGAAAATTCTGAAAACTCATTGTAATATATGAAACCCTGACCCGTCTGCTCATGATTACTGAAGCTCATACACGACACACAGAAAGGGAAACGAGTGAGGAGGCATGTAGAGATAACGCAAACTCTAAATCAAGTCATTCAGCATGTCAAAGTCATGTTTACGTGTATAAAATATATTTTCCAACAATGAAATTGTGGCTAGTGAAAATGGCGAGTGGCTAGTAATGCTGGAAAACTACTAGCCACAGTGGCTGCTGGTCAGAAAAGTCAATGTTAAGCCGTGTTTGTAATATTTAATAATATTGTGATATTCAAGACTTGTCAAGTCGCACAGCTCTGGATCAGTGGAAACAGCGAGCACTAGTCTCTCCTCCATCTTTAAAAGTTCTCCATAGTCGTCTTGACCACACAAACCCCGCCTCTGCTTATATTTGATTGGAGAATGAATTTCCGCTCGAGGTTGGCTTTTATTTTAACTGCGAGCACACACTGTGCAACGGCAACAACGCGAGCCGCATAAGCAGTTTCTTCTCTGGTGTGTGTTTTTTCTGAATGCCGTGGTTATGTAAAGCGGCTCTAACTCGCTCATTCTGCATGTGCAGCAGCTTTAATCATGAGGTAAACACAATATCTGGACTCGACTCTTGTACACACTCGCTCCATCGGGCTCGCAACTCTCAGCACCGCCCGCGCTCTACACAGCTGTCCAGCCAGCCAATCACAGAGCTTACGCTACGCCTCGTTATGACGTGTAGTTACTTTTTTTTTAGAGTTGTGTGTCAGCGTTGGCCATGCCGAGGGGTGTGTGACTGCACGCAGGCTGCGCTGGAGCTTACGCGTGTGTGCCTAATGCAGAAGTGTAAATCAGCCTTCAGCAGTGCACTCACTAGTCAACAAGAGTGCTGATCGAGATGCTCACTACAGGAGATTCTGTCTTCAGATTGTCATAAGTGTGTGTGTGTGTGTGTGTGTGTGTGTGTGTGCAGGGTAATATTCCTCTGAAGGAGCTGAACACGAGGCCTCTGGAGGTGTTCATGTGCAGTGTGTTGAAGAGACAGGGCTACGGCGAGGGCTTCCGCTGGCTGTCTCAGTACATCGACTAAACACACACACACACACGTCCAGCAGAGAGCGCTCCATCATCCTACAGACTGTTAATCTTCAGTTCATCACCGTGTTCACACACACACACACACACACACACACACACACACACACACACACACACACAGCTCATTCTGCTCCAGCACTCTCTCTGTCATTCAGCCTTTCTGCTCCTCATTCAGTGTGTGTGCGTGTGTGTGCGTGCGTGTGTGTGCGTGCGTGTGTGTGCGTGCGTGTGTGTGCGTGCGTGTGTGCGCGTGTGTGTGTGTGTGTGAACAGCTGACACACTAGTCATATTCGCCAAACAGGAAGTGCTTCAGCTCACTTCCTGTCCGCTGTGGCCACAGTCCTCGGGCTTAAAGATGAAGTTGTGACTGTGTATGTGCAGTCCGCTGATGTGGCCGTCCTCTCACACACACACACACACACACACACACACACACACACACACACACACACACATCTGTCTCTCCCCTCCAGTTTCTGTTGTTTTCCAAAAAAAGATAAAACAAAACAAAAACAAACTGTACTGCCACACACAGACGCTCGCTCACACCTGCTGTAACACACACACACACACACACACACCAGTAGATGTTCACTCTTTCTTTTTTAATATGACGTGGAATTGAAGATTTAAGGCACGGCAATAAACCTCAGTGTATGAAAGAAGAAGAAACCAATCATTCCTGACCACAAGTGTCTCCAGAGGGACTCACGCACACACACACACACACACACACAGTGAACTGCCCAATAACATGATAATCTAGTGGACACACACACACACAGAGAGATGTGGGACAGAGCTGGCGTTGAGCAGAACTCCAGCAGGTCAGCTGATGATCATGGGCCGAGTGTAAATGATAGAGATGTCATGTCTGATTTTTAAAGCTGTCCTCCAATAGCTCTTAATTTGAATAATATGGGTTAAACACATTATGCATGCCTTGTTCCATGATTATTATTATTATTATTAATTTTTATTAGTTTTTTGTCATCTTTTTTTTTTAAATAAACACAAATAACCTAGAGTAAAGTCATCAGATGAGAGTCTTCAGCTCTATAAATCTATATAAGTCTGCATGGAGCAGCGGTGGAATGGCCACACACACACACACACACACACACATCAGTGCTTTTATTTTCTGGACTGTCCCTCCATGTACTCTTGTCATTCCAGCTGTTCCATCGAGGAGAGATGCCGATGTTTCCATCAGAAATTGTAATAAATGTTTGCAATGAAAGCAGCTCATCTGTGGTTTACTTGCTGAATGAGGAGAAGCACATCTTCAGCTCACACATCAGTCTGACATGATAGAGCAGCGATCGCCTCAAATCAACTCTGGTAAACCCGGAATGACACTGGCTTTGCTTTCTACAGTGTCACAGATTAATGATTGGCATTAGAGGATATTGAACACAGCTCTTCATCAACAAACATCGATTCTCCCATCTCCTATTGAGGTGAATGTGTTAGTGTGTCTAAGGACTTGTGAGCTGAAGGATTGTGCAGAGTGCCAGAGTTGCAGAATTATGAATTGCTGCAGTAAATGCAGATTACAGTGATGTAGAAATGAAAGAAAAGTCATTAAGATGCAAGCACAATCTCTTACCAAGTCTAAACCAGCATTATAGCAATGTACAATAATACTGCAGTGCAAACTGGGTCCTGGAGGGCCGGTGTCCTGCATATTTGAGTTCCAACCCCAATTAAACACACCTGAACAGCTCATCAAGCTCTTTCAGGCAATACTACAAACTTCCAGGGACGTGTGTTGAAGGAAGTTGGAGCTAAACTGCAGGACACCGGCCCTCCAGGACTGAGTGTGGACACCGCTGCTGTAGTGTTTCTGAACCTTTTCATTATCAGGTAGATTGATTGATCTACTGTGGTGATTCTACAGCAGCTATGGTCACCAAACAACTACACTGATTGATCTGTCGTGATTCTGCAGTCGCTATGGTAACAACTAATTTATTTACTAGTTGTTCTACAGTAGCTATGGTAACAACCATAGTAATAGATATGTTGTGATTCTACAGTAGCTATGGTAACACATATAATTTATTCACTGGTTATTCTACAGTCGCTATGGTAACATAAACTAAAGTAATTGATCTGTTGTGGTGATTTTACAGATGCTATGGTAACAACAACCTTAAAAATGGATTTGTTGTCATTCTACAGTCGCTATGGTAACGCATAGTTTATTCACTGGTTATTCTACAGTTGCTATGGTAACAACTGTAGTAATTGATCTGTTGTGGTGATTCGACAGTTGCTATGGTAATACAACTATAGTAAATGATCTGTTGTGATTCTATAGTTGCTATGGTAAAATAACTGCTATAGTAATTAACCTGTTGTGGTGATTCTACAGTTGCTATGGTAACAACTGTAGTAATTGATCTGTTGTGGTGATTCTACCGTTGCTATGGTAACATGACTATAGTACTATAGTAATATAAACAAATGAGCCAGTACTGCAGTCTTCTACAACTATAGAGTTTATTACACTACAACACACCACAGTTTACTGTAGTAAAATCGAACGTACACTTCGGTATTTAGTAGTTATCATTCACTACAGTATGATGGAGGGTTTTTCGGTTTTATTCCTGTTATAGTAAGAAAATAAGAGTAATAAAAAACCTTTAGCCATTAGTTTCCTCTGTGAAGCTCCCTCTATACAGCAGATTATTTGTAGACCCATGAACAGCTCACAGACCTGACACCTCTGCTGACACTGACAGAACAACGAGGGAGAGATGTCCTGATGCTTTATCAAAATATTAGTTTGACTGTAATCAGAGCATAACTCACTTTTGAAAACATTACATTTGTGTATTTTATACAATAATTCCACTTTACAGTTCACCCAAACATATAAATCCATCATATAAATACATCAGTGGTCTCAAACTGGATTCCTGGAGGGCCGCAGCTCTGCACAGTTTAGCTTCATCTTCCTCCAACTCCCAGCTGCTGATTAGTCTTGACTGCCTGGAGTTGATGAGCTGTGTTTGATCAGGGCTGGAGCAAAACTGCAGAGCTGCGGCCCTCCAGGAGTCCAGTTTGAGACCTGTGCGATACATATAACTAATCAAAACATTACTTTCAGGTGTCAAACTCAGCTCCTGGAGAGCCCAGCTCTGCTTCAGCACACTCACCTGGAGGATTCAAACAAGCCTGCAGGACTCCATTAGTGTGATCAGGAGTGTTCAATCAGGGTAAAGCTGAACTGCAGAACTCCAGGAGCTGAGTTTGACGCCTGTGTATTAATGGAGTTAAATGTACAAAATGTCTTCATGGAGTCGTTGATCCTTACTTAATATTCTAGTGATTTTGGCACAAAGGAAAACCCTGTCATTTTAACTCATATAAGGTGTTTTTGGCCGTCCTCCCAAATACACCCGTGCAACTTGAGACTGGGTCTGTGGTCCAGAGTCACAGTTTAAAGGCACAGTTCACCCAGAACATGAGCATTCACTCATTATATACTCTCCCTCAGGTGTTCCCAAACCTTTCTGTATTCTGATGAACACAAAAGAAGATATTTTGAAGAATGCTGGAAACCGGTGACCATTGACATAATAGGAAAACAAGTAGCAGATTTCCAACATTCTTCAAAATATCTTCTTTTGTGTTGAACTGACACTCAGACAGGTTTGTGAGGAGTGTAAACTCGACAGAACTGTGCCTTTACAGCGCGCAGGATCTCCTGTGAGCTGAGCTGCTCTTCAGAGACGTCTTCATTCCTGCGCTCAGAGTTTCTCTTCCCTCATCTTCTCTCCTCCTCCTCCGTCCTCCACACTCTGTTTATCTCTTCCTGGAAAGCTGATGGAGACGAGGAGACGTTCAGTGACAGGTGAAAGCTGCCATTGAGTCGGTGTGTTTCTCTGATCTCAGTGTGGTAGGTGTGTGTGTCTCTCTCAGGTCAGTTCAGAAACAGTTTCACATGTGCATATATGAGCGCAGGAAACGGCTCTAATGTGATGCGGTTGCTTTTGACCGTGTTTGGAGAGGTTGTTGTGAATATTAATGAGCTTAACAACGTTATAATACAGGCTAAACTATAATCAACTCAACAAAACAGAGACAAAAGAGCAAGTGTGTGTTTGTGTTGGTGCATGCATGCGAGCAAGAGTGTGTTTGTTTATGTTTGCGAGAGTGAGCATGTGTGTGTGTGTGTGTGTGTGTGTGTGTGTGTGTGTGTGTGTGTGTGTGTGTGTGTGTGTGTGTCACCTTCTGCTCTTCTGCATCTGCTCCAGGTTCTCGGGCAGCACTTTTCCAAAGGTCTCGGGCAGAAAGAGGTTGGCCAGTGAGGCGGTGATGGTCAGGCTGCCCATCAGCACATACGGCAGGTGTCTGTTAAACGTGCCTGAAGAGCAGAATCCATCAGTCAACAACACCTTCAGTCCTTTAAGAAGAGCTGAGAGACTGTGTGTGCAGGAGCAGTGAGGACACACCATCACTCATTTACAGCTCTGAGTATCGACACAGGAGAGTAACCCTGTCTGATTACAGCTACACCTACAGCTGAAAAGAGTTCATATGAAAACTTACTACAGTCATTTATAGTAGATACTCTAACGCTTATATTACAAGTTACAAGTGTATTAAGTAGCTACAACTGCTGCTGCATACTATAGTGAACTGATAAACTCAACTACTGTAGTATACTTTCAGTTTACTGTAGTAAACAGTGGTGTGTTGTAGTGTAATATACACTGTAGCTGTGGAAAACTACAGTATTGGCTCATTTGGTTATGTTACTATAGTGGTTGTGTTTCCATAGCAACTGTAGAATCACCACAGCAGATCAATTACTATAGTAGTTGTGTTACCATAGCAACTGTAGTGTCACATAATGAATGTATTTAATAATATGTAGTAAAAACAGTGTAAAAGTGCCCCCCCCCCCCCATATTTCTGAGTGTTTGATTGTGCTGATCTGCTGTGTTTACCTAAGAATATGATGTATGGTGCTGTGATGCTGCCGATGCGGGCCGCAGAAGAGCACATGCCCATGCCCAGGTTTCTGAGGACGGTGGGATAGAGCTCCGCGGTGTAGATGTAGACCACTGTAAAGGACATGGTGAAGCCGAATTTACCCGCCATCTCCAACGCCAGAGCCAGCGTCTGCAGACCTGCACACACACTCTGATCACTGCACCATTCTCCACTGTGTGCTAAAGTCTGCATCAAATCATAATCCGCTCTTCTTATCTGTTTATGAATGTAGTGGAGCTGGTTATAAACCATGCACCTGTACACTTCATTATTCAGTAGAAATTCATTTGCCTTCATAACCACATGGAATGCCTTTAGGGCGGGGCCATCAGTCATCTAGGGCAGGTCTGTCAGTGATTTAGGGAAGGTTATCAGTTTTTTGGGGTGTGGCTATCAGCCCTTTGGGGTGAGTTATGACTTATTTGGGGTGGGGCTATCCGGATGTGTCTCATTTCTGCCATGATTTTGAGCTTGGCGCCATCTAGTGTCTGAATAATGCAAAGGTTAGTGTATACTCCATCAGCTGTTTTACTTTCTGTCAGCTTTGTGTTTAATTTAAGAATTAATTAAGTAATATATGACATAATTAAGATTTTATATATATATATATATATATATATATATATATATATATGAATATATGAAATAATTAAGTATATATGACATATGTGAATATACTGTACATGTACAGATGTGTATTTTTAACAATTGACAAAATATATATGCTGTGAAATATATGCTGCATATGACAAATATTTTACATTTGGTCAATTAAGGGCGTCACGCTGCACAGTGGGTAGCATGATCACCTCGCAGCAAAAAGGTCGCTGGTTTGAGTCCCGGCTGGGTCAGTTGGTGTTTCTGTGTGGAGTTTGCATGTTCTCCCCGTGTTGGTGTGGGTTTCCTCCGGCTGCTCCGGTTTCCACCACAGTCCAAACACATGCGCTATAGGAGAACTGATCAACTACACTGGCCGTATGAGTGTGTGAATGAGTGTGTATGGGTGTTTCCCAGTGATGGGTTGCAGCTTGAAGGACATCTGCTGTGTAAAACATATGCTGGAATAGTTGGTGGTTCATTCCGCTGTGGCGACCCCTGATTAATAAAGGGAAAAGCTTCGGCGAAAAGAAAAAATCCATTCAAAATGCCCGTTTGTGTGGTGTATTTGTATATTTTTCTATATGGGCCACATCTGCCAGATTTTTACCCTAGAGTTTACAGGACTGTTTTTTACAGTACAAACACCCGGCGTCTCACCTTTGACCCAGTGCCAGCTGAATTCTAGTGTAAAGTTTCTGAGTCTCCAAAAGCATGTGAGTGTGCACATTTGCCCTCATGGTAATTCTCCAAGTAATAGGCTTAACCTGTTTTCCCTGCAAGGGTCCAAGTCCAGATTCAGGGGCACAAAATGTAAGCTAATCCTGGTTCTGTAGTTGAGTAAAGCGGTTTCTGATGGCTTACAGCCGTCTGCATGCCTTCAGGCTTTAGCAGAAACTCTGTCAGTGCTGCTGGAGTGGCTCTACTGTACGCTCACTAATGCTGAAGCCTTATGAACAGCCTCTGGATAAATCACCCACAGGAAACTCTTACAGTTACAGCAAGAGTACAGCAGTAGACCAGCTCACTCTTCACTATGATGGTCCACTTTGATCCCTTTTTACAACACGGTTATTAGAGTTTGGCCTTTTTAAATTAGTCAGGGGTTAAATGACTGACAGGTAGTGACATAAGTGACTGATAACTCCGCCCTAAATGACTGATAGCTCCGCCCTAAATGACTGATAGCTCCACCCTGAATTACTGATAGCTCCACCCTAAATGTCTGATAGCTCCACCCTAAATGACTGATATCTCCACCCTAAATGACTGATAGCTCCGCCCTAAATGACTGATATCTCCACCCTGAATTACTGATAGCTCCGCCCTAAATGACTGATAGCTCCGCCCTAAATGACTGATAGCTCCGCCCTAAATGTCTGATAGCTCCGCCCTAAATGACTGATAGCTCCGCCCTAAATGGCTGATAACTCCACCCTAAATCAGAGCTCATGCTTCATGAATGAGACTGTTTCTCTTCACTGCTGCGTTTCAAGCTGATCTTCTGTAGGACTCTGGAGAGCATGTGTGGTGTGGTGTGTTGTGTTGTGTTGTGTTGAGCTCTTACGGTCAGGAATGAGCTGCACCAGGAGCAGGAAGCCTCCACCGATGACCAGGAAAGCGGACAGCACGGGTCTCCTGGGACAGCTCTTCAGGAGGAAGGTGGACACGATATATGCTGGAACCTCAGTGACCGCCGACAGAAAGCAGTTGAGGAACGGGTCGCCACTCAGATTGGTGGTGTTCAACGACAAGCCGAAATAGCCAATGTTGATGGCCATCCTACCAGGAGAACCAAGAGACTTTAGAACAAACGCAGGGGACAGAGAACAGCTTCAGATTCAAGCAGAGGTGTTCAGTGCTGTTCCTGGAGCTACACTGTCCTGAGATCAGCTCTGAATGAGCTGAAGTCACCATGAGAGTAAAGTTAAGACTGTTCTTTTTTTTACTTTAAATTACTGATAGCCCCGCACTAAATGACATTCCATGTGCTCACAGTCAATTAGTGTGTGAGCTCTAAACTAGAACATAATCTGAACATAACAGAACATAACCTGACAATAATCTTAACATAACAGGTTATAAAATGTTTTCTTATTGGCTGTGCTTAAGGGTATCATATCCTGAACATAACCAAAACATAACTTGAACATAGCCTGAACATAAACAGAACATATCCTGAACATATCCTGAACATAACCAGAACATAACCAGAACATATCCTGAACATAACCAGAACATATCCTAAACATAACTTGAACATAACCAGAACATAATCAGATTATAACATGTTCATAACCTGAACAATACAAGAACGTATCCTGAACATAGCCAAAACATAACTTGAACATGCCATGAACATAACCAAAACATAACCTGAACATAATCAGAACATAGCCTGCACATATTCTTAACATAACCAGAACATAACAGGTTACCATACATTTTTGTAAATCAAGAAAATGCATCATCATTAGCTGTGCATAAGGGTATCATAACCAGAACCTAACATGTACATAACCTGAACATGTACTGAACATAACCAGAACATTTCCTGAAAATAACCAAAGCATAATTCGAACATATCCTGAACATAGCCAGACCATTTCCTGAACATAATCAATGCATAACGTGCATAACCTAAACATAACAAGAACATATCCTGAACATAACTGAAACATAACTTGAACATATCCTGAACATAACCAGAACATATCCTGAACATAACCTGAACATAACCAGAACATATCCTGAACATAACTGAAACATAACTTGAACATATCCTGAACATAACCAGAACATATCCTGAACATAACCTGAACATAACCAGAACATATCCTGAACATAACTGAAACATAACTTGAACATATCCTGAACATAACCAGAACATATCCTGAACATAACCTGAACATAACCAAAACATATCCTGAACCTAACCAAAATATAACTCGAACATATCCTGAACATATCCTGAACATAACTGAAACATAACTTGAACATATCCTGAACATAACCAGAACATATCCTAAACATAACCAGAATATAACCAGAACATATCCTGAACATAACCTGGACATAACCAGAACATATCCTGAACCTAACCAAAATATAACTTGAACATATCCTGAACATATCCTGAACTGGACGCTGCTATATTAAAGCATGCAGTCTGCTGTTTTCAGGCAGTCTGAATCTCTCACCACAGCAGCAAACACATGAAGGTGGTTCTGCGAATATTGCTGGTTCTCAGGACGTCCAGTGCGCTGTACTTGCTCTTCTGGAATGCTGCCTCTTTAATCTAGAGATGGCGAGATGAAAAACGCTTTGCTTTTCAGAGCAGCTTGATTAGTGTGTACTTCACTGCCATTACTGCATTAGTCTGACCTGAGACTGCTTGAAGATGACCTCTGGAGCTGGGACCCTGTTCTTCCGGGCTGCGTCCCTCAGGATGGCCTCAGACTCCTGCACGTGTCCCTGAGAGAGAAGCCAGCGTGGAGACTCCGGGATCAGCCTGAGGATCAATGGAGCAAAATCGGCTGTCATTATCAGTTACTTTAGTAAGAACTATATCTGTTGAGTCGAGGATAATGCGGAAACATCTTAATGAAAATAATTCAAACTCTCACCACCACAGCGGGATGTAGACCACGGTCAGGCCGGACAGAACCCTCAGTAGTGTCCTCCAGTGGCGGATGGCAAAGGCGACCCACGGCAGCAGCATGTAGCCCACGCAGTAATGCAGAAACGCCCCCAGTGTGGTGAACAGCACCCGCAGAGACCCACTCAACACTTCATTACCTGCCATGAACACCACAACAATAATGCCTTTCACACTCAGAGTCCATGTGTCTAAACACTCTTAAATCAATTAGCACCTTATATGCAAGCAGAACATAGTCTTGTTTTCAGAAATAATGAGGCAACATTTACAGTTTATTTGTAATTTACACCAGTTAATTTATGGGGTCACCACGGTGGAATGAACCGCCAACTATTTCAGCATATGTTTTACACAGCAAATGCCGAAACACCCTTACACACTCATTCACACACACACACACACACACACACACACACACACACACACACACACACACACACACACACACACACACACACACACACTCATACACTATGGCCAATGTAGTTGATCAGTTCCCCTATAGCGCATGTGTTTGGACTGTGGGGGAAACCGGAGCACCCAGAGGAAACCCTAAGGATGTCTAAGGAGAGATATGCGGCTTGCTAAGACAAGATACTGACATAAGAGACCCTGTTTATTTATAGTGAGTTAGGAATCATCTGATTGGTGAATCTCGTAGACAATTTACAATCATAATCATGTGATCCTTTTGGAATTAGTTTATAAATAAACTTTCTAATAAATGATTTCCCATGATGACAGCACATAATATTAGTCTAGATATTCTTCAAGACACTAGTGTTCAGCTTACAGTGGCATGTAAAGGCTTCACTAGGGTAATTAGGGTAAAGTTAGGGTAATTAGGCAAGTCATTGTATAACAGTGGTTTGTTCTGGAGACAATCCAACACTAATATTGCTGAAGGGGTGAATAATATTGAGCTTAACATGGTGTTTAAGACAATTAAAAACTGATTTTATTCTAGCCCAAATAAAACAAATCAGACTTTCTCCAGAAGAGGAAACATTAGAGGAAACACTGTGAACATTTCCTGAATCTGCTCAACATCATTTGGGTCTTCAGCTGTCTTTTGGCAAACACACTAGACAAGGAAAACCATCTTTTCCATGATCTCCCCATCAGCGCATCCCCACTCCTGTGTCCTTCAGTGAGAGCACATCACAGCAGGCTCACCGAGAACGAAGGCAGTGATGTACAGCGATATTTGGAAAGCTCCAATGAAGAAGTAGAGAACACAGAAGATCAGCCAGGAGGGAGAGAAAGACTGAGCGAACATCAGCAGCGCTTCTGCGGCCAGAGAACCGAAGAGAACCTTCTTCCTGCCGAACCTGAGGGCGAGACCACAGAGCGAGATAGTTCAGGTGTTTCCATTCATAAACTGGATCTTAAGAAAAAGAAATGATAAAAGTCAGGCTTAATCTGACAGCTGAAAACGGAAATGAAATGGGAAATAGTGAAAATTCACTCACTATTTACTCCTCCTCAAGTGTTTCCAAAGCGTTATGAGTTTCTGTCTTCTGTTGAAGATCTTTAGAAAAGTGTTGGAAACCTGTAACCATTCACTTCCATAGTAGGAAAAACAAATACTGTGGAGGTCAATGGTTACAGGTTTCCAACATTCTTCAAAATACTTCAACAGAAGACACAGTGGCTCAGTGATTATCACTGTGTCCTCACAGCACTAAGGTCACTGCTTTAAGTCCCGGCTGGGTCAGTTGGTGTTTCTGTGTGGAGTTTGCATGTTCTCCCCGTGTTGGCATGGGTTTCCTCCGGGTGCTCCGGTTTCCCCCACAGTCCAAACACATGCTCTATAGGGGAACTACACTGGCCGTAGTGTATGAGTGTGTGTGTGTGTTTGTGTGTGAGAGAATGAGTGTGTATGGGTGTTTCCCAGCACTGGGTTGCAGCTGGAAGGGCATCCGCTGTGTAAACATATGCTGCATAAGTTGGCGGTGGCGATCCCTGATGAATAAACAGACTAAGCCGAAGGAAAATGAATGAATGAATGAATCTTCTTTTGTGTTCAACAGAAGACAGAAACTAATCTACGAATTGATCTATGAATTTAACTAGAGTTTAATTAATTATTACTTCATTTTTTACTTTTTCAAGACAAAATGTCCCTAAATATGAAAATACCAGCCTGATCCCACAAGGAAACGTCACTATTTTACATTTAGCGGCTAATTCATACGAGTTCGTCAGTCGTACAAAATAGTACGATTTTAAAAAGGAGGCGTGGCACCCAACCCCGCCCCTAAACCCAATCGTCATTGGGAGATGAGCAAATCATCCTAAATTGTACGAACGAGATCACACTAATACATGTGAATTAGCCACTAGATCAAAAAGTTACGAATGGTGATCATGTTGAAAAACAGACATTATTGTAGGAGATCATTTGTGTTATTATTAATATTCAAATCTATTTCATTAAAGTTTTTGTTAATAATAGAAGTTTAGCTAGAGGAGGCAAAATGTACCCATAGAGTTTGAGTCCTATATAATCCAAATATCTGCAAAATAATCTGACAATGGAGAAGAGGAATAATCTAGAATTTGCTTTGATATAAATGATTACTCTTCCCCCATAAGCAAATTATCTTGTTTGTTTTAATCAGAAACTCTCCTCATTTCTCCTCATTATTTCTGAAAACAACACTACATTTGTTGCTTGTCTAGAAAATGCTTCTTGATTTAAAATCATTCACACTAGAAGCAACACAAACAGCTCTACGTAAGCATTTCTTTCCAGCTCCTCAACAAACTCCTTGAACAGTGTGCTTAAGCTCAGTGATTAGTGTGTGTGTGTGTGTGTGTGTGTGTGTGTGTGTGTGTGTGTGTGTGTGTGTGTGTGTGTGTGTGTGTGTGTGTGTGTGTGTGTGTGTGTGTGTGTGTGTGTGTGTGTGTGTGTGTGTGTGTGTGCGTGTGTGTGTGTGTGTGTGCGTGTGTGTGTGTGTGTGTGTGTGTGTGTGTGTTTTATCTCCTGCTGCGGTGTACAGAAGCAGTACCTGTCAGACAGCTGCCCTGAGACGATGGAGCCCAGCAGGTAACCCATGTAGAGAGTAGAGCTGGCCAACGGGACCCTCCACTCACTGTCACACACCAGATCCCACTGCAACCACAACACACACATACTGAACCTGCGCAGGACAGAGCAGAATAACACACACACACACACCTGCGCTGTACACTACACTAACATCACTGGACAAATCTAATGCAGATTGTATAGAATTAGTAGTATATGCAATGTAAATTAATTCAACAACAGAGCATCAAAATAAAGTGTGACTGTATATGCTGCAACTGAAATCTCCCTAGGGGGACAAAGAAAGTTCACCAGTAACTAATCGATGATTGGCTGACCTCAGAGACGATGGTGGAGTGGTACACATCAGCACTGTAGACCCATCCGTCCTCACAGCGCTCCCGCGGGATGTCGGTGATGTTGATCTGGCCTGGAGAATAACCCTGACCCGACAGGTTTGTGAGCGTCTGCAGGCTGTACCTCCAGCACTGGCTGACCTGCAGATCTCCATTACTGAGTGTCTCTGTAGGAGCGCTCGCCTCCAGCCAGTCCTCGGTCAGATTCACATCCACACGGCAGCGGTGCGCAGGGGACGCCGCCACGAACACGATATACAGCCCGTGGAGGCCCGTGGAGATGTAGATCAGGTTCAGCAGACAGAACAGCCTGATGAAGAAGGGTCCCGTTTGCCCCAGAAATGCAGTGTCTTCATCATAATTCCCCATTCTGAGTGTGTGTGTGAGAGGAATCAACACATGCTGTAATACTAGTGCACTTCTTGGAGACTTGAAGACCTGAGAATGAGGAAAAACATCTGAAGACCACTATAGAGAGCGGGTCTCTCTCTCTCTCTCAGACACACACACACGAGTGTACATGGCAACTAATCCAGGCCACATTTTTCCACTAAAGCAGCCAGAAGAATTACAAACGTTTGCAATCCGCTAATCCGAGCACATTACAGTATAAGATGAATAATGCTCAATAATGGGCTGTTGAGTTATTGGAGAATATTGAACATCTGAGATAACAGCAACTCCACTATAGGACACACTGTACAATAAGCTTTGATTAGTTAATGCATTTACTAATATGAGCTAATTATGAACAATACAGCATTTATTAATCATAGTTCAACATTTACTAATGCAATATTAACATCCAAATTCATTTGTTAACATTACATAATGCACCATGAGGTAACAAGAACTAACAATGAAGGAATTTATTTGAACAAATATTGTAAAAAATATACTGTTTATTGTTTGCTCATGTTAGTGAATGTATTAACTGACCTAATGCAGCCATATTGTAAAGTCTGAGTAATATAATATAATATAATATAATATAATATAATATAATATAATATAATATAATATAATATAATATAATATAATAAATATAATATAATATAATATAATATAATATAATATAATATAATATAATATAATAAATATAATATAATATGATATAATATAATATAATATAATATAATAAATATAATATAATATGATATAATATAATATAATATAATATAATATAATATAATATAATATAATATAATATAATAAATATAATATAATATGATATAATATAATATAATATAATATAATATAATATAATATAATATAATATAATATAATATAATAAATATAATATAATATAATATGATATAATATAATATAATATAATATAATATAATATAATATAATATAATATAATATAATAAATATAATATGATATAATATAATATAATATAATATAATATAATATAATATAATATAATATAATATAATATAATAAATATAATATAATATAATATAATATAATATAATATAATATAATATAATATAATATAATATAATTAATATATGAGGCATTTATATTGACCTATAGCTGTTCGTTATATTAGAAATGCAGAAATATTAGAAAATGTAATTATTATCTGTAAACACAATGTTTGTTACAGGTAAAATTAGTTTAAAGGGTCAGTTCACACACAAATGAGCATTTACTCATTATTTACTCATCCTCAAGTGTTTCAAACCCTATATGAGTTACTTCTGATGACCACTAAAGAAGATATTTTGAAGAATGCTGGAAACCTGTAACCATTGACTTCCATAGTGCACTCCAGAAATAAAGGTATGTGAGCGGTCACCGGGGTGGTGCCTTTTCAAAAGGTACAAAGTTGTACCTAAAAGGTCCATATTAATACCTCAAGGGTACATATTAGTACCTAGAAAATACAAAAGTGTTCCTCTTAAATCATCAGGTACTAATATATACTTTTGAGACACCAATAAAAACCCTTTAAGAACAAACATGTACCTTTTTAAAAAAGATACCACCCCAGTGACGGCTCTACCTTTATTTCTGAGAGTGTAGACATAAAACTGATGCTATAGAGGAGTCCAACATTCCTCAAAATATCTTCTTTAGTGTTCATCAGAAGGCAGAAACCCATAATGATTTGAAACGAGGGAGAATGGATTGATTAATCTATGGGTGAACTGTCCCTTTAAGCCCAGTCTGATCAACGAGAGCTTTATAACCATGCAGCGGTGTAAGAACAGTGTCTGGATCTGGATACTCACAGGAGCAGGAGCAGGAGCAGGAGCAGCAGCGTGTCTGGAGGTCTGTGGTCTGTCTGAGGATCAGACTGAGCTTTTCACCTCCTCATCATCAGTTGATTGATGACTGATAACAGCACATTCATCATCATCATCATCATCAACACACTGATACTGATGAAGAGTGTGTAATGATGAGTTTATCATCAGGGACACAATACTGTAAAGATGACTGACAGGATTAATGGATGCTTCTGTGTGAATGCTCTAAATAACATGTTTGCTGATTGTTCAAGTCAGTTAAAATCAGCTGAATCAGCACAACTCTTCAGTTGTTGGGGGACAGCCTAAATGGATGGTTTAATTTATTCATTTTCTTTTCAGCTTAGTGCCTTTATTATTCAGGGGTCGCCACAGCTGAATGAACCGCCAACTTATCCAGCATATGTTTTACGCAGTTGAAGCCTTTCCAGCTGCAAGCCATCACTGGGAAACACCCATACACACTCATTCACACACACACTAAACACTACAGCCTATAGCGCATGTGTTTGGACTGTGGGGGAAACCGGAGCACCCGGAGAAAACCCATGCCAACACGGGGAGAACATGCAAACTCCACATAGAAACACCAACTGACCCAGCCGAGACTCGAACTAGCGACCTTCTTACTGTGAGGTGAACATGCTACCCACTGTGCCACTGTAAAACATATGCTGGAATAGTTGGCAGTTCATTCCGATGTGGCAACCTCTGATGGATAAACGGACTAAGCTGAAGGAGAATGAATGAATGAATGAAGGGATGTGTGCTGGAGCTGTGTGAAGGTGATGATGATGATGATGGCGTGTGTGTGAGTTTCTGTTTCTTCCTCATATTTGTTTTTCTACAAGATAGAGTTGATTAAAGATTAAGCGATTAAACCATTCGCCTGCCGCACTGTATAACATTAGAAACAGAGAAGATTAAAACACGCACATATAAAGCATATACATACATTTCATTTGGTTCATTAAATGTTTTTAATATTATTCATTAGTTTTTTATCTATATTCACCACTGGCAGCTGCTTATACTCGTTTATTTTTGTTTGTAAGATGTATGAGTTAAGTTTGTACATATTTCCTAATCAATAAATAAATGAATAATAATGATGATGATGATGATGATGATGATGATGATGATGTAAAAGTGAGTTTCAGTTTCTTCCTCCAGAGCTGTGAAGTGAAAGTAAAAGCAGTTAAAGGCCGACCGCAGCGCATCTCCATCCCAGCACCAGCTGCTGTTTGTCGGATACTCTCAGCGCAGATGGAGCCTCAGGTAAGCGGCTCCAGACCTCCACTGCTGTGTTTATTCGGTGTTTGCTGCTGTGGGAACAGGTGTGGTGTGTTTTGGTGTGTGTTTGTGCATGTTTTGTGTGTGTTTGTGGATGTTTGTGCTCTGCTGGCGAATGTGAAAGAGAAAGTAGCGTTAGTCATGCCTGCAGACGTGGCGCTGCTCAGGCCTTTATATTTTCGACAGAACGCGTTTAATAAGTCGCAGTAGTCTGTCAAACACTCGAGTTTAGTTTACTTTAGTAGTTATATTCTACTTGTTTTGTTAGATTGAGGAATAGTTGCAGTGTAACGGTCACATGACGTCACTTCCGCCTGAGGATACTCGCGTCAGTTTACCATCCATATTTTTCATGGTGTGAGGGTTGGGATAGGGGTAGACGCTAATAACATGGCCTTAGCCAGGGGGAGTTCAGGTGGTTCGAAACACCCACTCCTCGCTGACAAAGGTGCAGAATTTGTCCCATACATGAGCTCGTTTGTCCTATTTTGACTGCCATACCATCATGAATAATGAAAAAAAGCTTGGCTGTCGCTTCGGTGTGACTTCAGCTAGTCAGTTTTGATCAATGCTAGCTATTACTTTTCATGAGCTCGACATCCAGCTGGGCTAGAAAACACAATCTGACAATAATGAAGGGACCTTTCACTACTGTACTGCTTTTAAAGAGAGAAAACATTTTACAGGTCATTTTTTATTTAGAAATCTTGGACCTTATTCCTGAAACAAAAATATACTAATAAAAAGTTGTGAAGCACCAAACGTGGCCAATATTAAAATTAATTTACGAACTATATTGGCTAATGCTGTTATCCGTGAATATTCAAATGTACTTTTTTCAAAATAATAATAATAATAATAATTATTATTATTATTATTATTATGATGATTATTTATTATTATTATTATTAATGTTTTAATTTTTCTTATTCAAAGGGCAAATTTCTGACTGAGGCCAGTTCAATGTGCTGGCCAGTTTGTTGGTTGTCTAATAAATGCTTATAGGCTACATTTTGTAATTCGAAACTTATAACAGAACTTCATAACAGATTCCCTTTTTCCTTATTATGTAACATGATATATTTATATTTTAAAAATAAGTATGTTTTTATATGTCTTTGTTCTAAATATTTAGCATATATTTTAGGTATGCTGTTGTTGTTGTTATGTTGTTATGATGACCACCTGATAAGCTAATCCAGCTAAAAGTAGTGCTTAATATGTCACAAATGCAGTATTTAAATCTCATAATTAAATAGAAAATGAGGCGAATAGCTGCAAAAATGTCCACTTTTTGAGAAAAAAGACCCCCCCCCCCCCTTCACCTGGCTGGCTATGGGCCTGAATGAATGATAATTTAATTAATCACATGAATAATTCTCATTATAATTACTGTTTTACCATATTGATGAAGGCTGGGGTAGGGGTAGACGCTTATTAATCAATAATTTAATCAATAAATTAATAAAAGGGTTAGTTTTGGCAATGAAATAGCATTATTATTTCCACAGCTGTATAATGCAGGTATATTCTTCTCTGATATTGGGTATTTTTGGTTTCCAGCATGTTCTGCTTGTTTTGCTGGAGTCTTTATACACATCAAGTATTCTCATGACCTCTCTCATGCTTTTGTGCTGTTATTTACCGGCTCATTACAGTATATATAGCAGAGCAGCAGGGTTAGTTAGAGTTCTGTCCTGGTGGATTATTTAGTTGTTTATTGGTATTCAGTAGCATGTTCTCCCCGTGTTGGTGTGGGTTTCCTCCAGGAGCTCCGGTTTCCCCCACAGTCCAAACACATGCGCTATAGGGGAACTGATCAACTACACTGACCTTGTGGTGTGTGTGTGTGTGTGTGTGTGTGTGTGTGTGTTTGTGTGTGTGTGTGTGTGTGTGTGTGTGTGTGTGTGTGTGTGTGTGTGTGTGTGTGTGTGTGTGTGTGTGTGTGTGTGTGTGTGTGAATGAGTGTGTATGGGTGTTTCCCAGTACTTGTTTGCAGCTGGAAAGGCATCCGCTGCATAAAATGTATGCTGGAATAGTTGGCGGTTCATTCTGCTGTGGTGACCCCTGATAAATATGGGACTAAGCTGAAGGAGAGTGAATGAATGAGTTATTCAGGAGTCCAGCAGGTGGCAGTCCAATCTCAAACATCTAAAACTCCGAGCCTGATCACACACGAGCCACAGCCATGAAGCCAGCAGCATTCCTGGCAAACCCAAAGTCAGAATGTTGACAACTGCTATGCATCTGCCTTTCGCATCTTTTAAGAGCACGTCTTAACCTTGAGCTAAAATGCTTCAAAAACGGTCAACATACCTGAATCCATTGTAAGATATTTTTATTTCATATTTTTAATATGCTTAATTCATAAGTAATAAAATAGGTAGCCAACAGTGAGAGAGCAAGAATAATATAATTATCTGGATTATTTTGTTTTGTAAAACTCAAAGAGAAAATAAGTTGATGAAAGTGTGCCGTCATTATAGCAGTTTTACATGATTTATTAAATGTTGTGTATGCTTCTGCACAGACAGTGTTAGACAGGCACACTGTATACAATATCTGTCAACTCACAGAGACTTTTACTGACATTTTAGTCATTTGAGACAATATAATGTATAATGCTGTGCGTGGTGGATCTGCTCTTCAGTGTTTGAACTGTCAGCAGTGAAGATTAAAGCACACTGAACTGAACTGAACTGAACTGAACTGATCTGATCTTCAGCTCTGAACACTGCACGGACACAGATTTAGTTCACTATGATCTTCTATGTAAAGCTGCTTTGACACAGTCAACACTGTAAAAGCACTAAATAAAGATGATTTGAACTGAATTAAATAATAATATGTGGAGGAATAAGTGTGTAAAATAGCAGTAAATGTGCTGCAGTTTATGACAAGGTTTCTGTAGTGTAATATACAACACCAACACACACACACAATACAGCACTGCAGACTATAAACCATTACAAATGCTCAGAAAAGTCCATTTTTAACACAGTTTTTAAGGTTAAATGTTGCTGGAAGAAAGATCAAGATCCCATAATGCAACTCAAAAGCAGAAATAAACCGGGGAAAAATAAAAACATGAATGACAAAATACACAAATCTGCTGATTCAGGCATATTTCTGAGTCGGTGTGTATGGAAAGTTTGTGTTTGTGTTTGACACACTCAGAGTGTTGATGTGTCTTGTCGAATAAAAACAGCCGGCTATAAATAAAAGATCATTTATCCGTTTAAATCTGGAAAAAGAGAATAAAAACAATGAAAGTGTAATAGATGTGAGATTATTTCCCTGTAACATGACTGTGACTGTGTGCTGTTTAATTGTAGTATTTCCCATCTCATCCATTATTTACCGTAGACACTGAACTGTCATCGAGTCCAACAATAGTGTCTAAAACCGAAAATCTCCTTTGCAATTTTTATAACATGAGTCATTTAATGACGGATTAAAAAACTCAATTTATAAGCAAGTCAGATTAACTGAAACCCTGATCCACTGTCATCTCAAATAATTATTTATTGCCACTTATGTATTTCACTGTAAACAAATACAATCATCGTTCCGCTAGTTCACACCATGATATTGCAATTAAATGCTAACTTATTCATGACATTAAAATCTTTTAAGTTGAATCAAGTGAACTTTTTCTGGTCATCTCAACTCACATCAGTCAAACGGACTAGATATATTAAGTTGTGTAGCTTTAAACATTTACTTGAAACCTGATTAATTTAATAAAAAAAAGCAACATTAAAAACTTTCAATGTCATTTTACAGTGTTGACAAGAAGTTTAAAATATTTTTAATCATCATTTATTTATTTTTATATTGTGTATATATATATATATATATTGTATATAACATATATAACATATATGTATATTTTAATAAGAATAAGTGTCTTTTGTTTTATTTAAACCTGCAATTATAAATACATTAGTTTAATTGAATTATAACTGAGTTAATAATATTAATAATTCCTAACATTTATAAAGCACTCCTCTGGACACTGAACGCACTTTACACATTGGGGGAATCTCCTCATCAATCATAAGTTATTTCAGGGTTTGTCATTTTATTCTGTTTTTTTTTTAAACGTTAAACACACAGTGACCTTCTGAGCTTTCTGTGAGTAAAAACTCTTCTGTTAAATGCATTTGAATTATTAATGATCATTACAGTTTATTTGTCATAAATAATTAATTAAATCTTCCCCAGTACTGGGTTGCAGCTGGAAGGGCATCCGCTGTGTAAAACATATGCTGGAATTGTTGGCGGTTCATTCCACTGTGGTAACTCCTGATAAATAAGGGACTAAGCTGAAGGAAAATTAATAAATAAATTAAGTAAACATTGATTTTTATTCCGATATTCATGACTTGTAGATGTAGATATTTTTGGCAAGTGATCAGTTAAAAAGCTGACCTGCCTTCAGTAACAATGTAATACTATAGATAAATAAGTATATATATATATATATTTAATAAAACAGACTGCAATAATATCTATAATATGTTTATAAATCTGAGCCTCCAGCAGAGGTCGCTATGCATCACATATAAACAAACACACACTTGATAACCTCAAGTGATCTATGTGTGTCATCAGTTTGTGTGTCTATGTGTGCAGTGGGTTGTCATGGTGATCACCAGCCACACAAACATTTCTGCATTCATATGCAAATTCCTGCCTGACGGGCGGAGGACGATGCAAATCATGCACAGAGCATTACACGTGACCTACAAACACCTTTTGTCATATTTCCAGTGCATCGCTCGCAGCACAGAATTCCAGCAGGGCTTCAGAAAACCAGTGTGTGTTATGAGGAACTGAATAGTTAAGGATGGAGGAAGAATGAGCAGATGCGTCAGCAGCGGATCACTGAGGTGCAGCTAAAGATTTAGAGCAATTCGAGGATCGCAAAAGATTTAATATGCATCCTGCTCGGCCAGTTCTGTCTGCCAGCTCTCGCCTAT